TTAGAGTGGCCAATAAACCATTACGTGTTGGACTTATTTTTTACACTAAATTGATGTTATACCAAGTCTAAGGTAGAAAAAAAAATTACAATACCGAATAATGATGAATGAACTAAAATTTAAAATTAAAATATGAAATTAATGATGTGATTTATATTTTATCATTTAAAATATTAAAAAATATATTTTACATTACTTAATAACTAATCCCTTTTATTATTTTAAAACTCGTGATATTACATACATTAATTAATTTAATAACGTAACATAACTTACATCATTGATCCTGAATTTTTGTTCTCTTTAACATTACTCTACAGTATATAATTACATATTATAATTATAAATTTACAATCTACATAATACTATAATTATATCTTCTTCTTTTTTGGCTATACAGTAATAATAAGTTCATTAATTTAGTTTCAACTAATATTGACAATTAATTGACAAACACATGATTATTTATTATGTAATAATAATTATTGATAAATTAATTAATTTAGTTTCAACAAAACTTGAACGGGGGGAGAGGGAGTAAAGATAATGACAAGATGATCTGCGACTTTCGAACCAACTGGCCATAAAGCAATTGCCAAAGGATTGCACTAACGTGACAATGAAGAGATTTGAGTACACATTTTGAAATGAGAATGTTGAAGGCGTCCTACATTAGTTTTAATAATTGATGAAGGGGGTGATAATTTATGAGTTTTAACCACTATTAATAGACTCATCATTTTATCAATAATTAAAAGTAATGTAATGCATAGGCTACACTTCATTTTCCTATTTCACGATTTTTATAACTTAGAACGACTCCAATGAGTTCATAATGATCTTTTTGCGTTTCCATTTCCTTTTCTTTCTTTTTCTCCCTTTTTTTTTTTTCCTTCATGAGATCAACTGTTTGTGGAAAAGGATATGATTTTAGATGGACAGCTAAAAAAACAATACAATAAACATTTTTCTAATATAATATACTAAAAGAATATCTTGTTTTTCCAGGTCTTCATGTTATCAACTTTGGCAAGTTAGGCTAGGTCAACATGGATAGGATAAGATCAGAGTCCTACATCATTCAAAATGCAATGTCAAACAGATTAGATGTAATAATTTGATGATAATAATAATGTCTACTACTTCTGTATATTATTAGTCATCTTTAGAGATTGTACAGATCCTAGTATCAGTGATACAGTCAACTAAGAGGGATAGCTTCTGAACAACTGGAGTCCAATATTTGGGCTAAGGAGTCCAGTTACTGTAACTGAAGAAATGTAACCCATCTCAGTCTTAGGAGAAGTGAGTTTTCCTGAAGCTAAAGCCCAAACCCAGAGCAAAATAGTGATGAGGGAATAACAACACAGAAAAGAATGATGCACATCAGAGACATCCATCAGATCATAATCAAAGTTAGTGATCATGGCCTAGAAAGTAGAAACAAAACAACAATACATATGAAATTAAATGGCAGACTAGATCCGCAGATTGAGATCATAAAACATAAACACTAATGGTGTTTAAGAACAATTCAAAATCTAACTCGGTCTGATACAAATCTTTCCTCAAAATATCTGCAGCTTTCATATTGAGCTAAAAAGGACAGTGGTGGGTTGACTTTTGTATTCCTTTATCTGCTCCAAGATGCTCGATTCCATACCTGGAAAACAGAGGGTGTTCAAGGTTTCCAAAGCTGCTGCATGCTTGAGTAGATACTTCACAAGTTCTACTCCGTTTCCAAAATGAACTTCGATGGTTGCCTTTTGCAGCTGAGGAACAAACTTAAGACCTTGAGCTTCCCAGTATTCCATATTGAACCCTTTCAACCCCTCCATGGATGGCCCAAAACTTTCCACGACTTCTTCCACCTTCAGAAAATTTTTTTAAAAAAAACATACACAAATTTAAACCTTTAGCGTCAAGAGGTTTGATACCAAGTGACTATGAGGTGAAAGAGGGGAGGGAACACAGAGAGCTAGGAATACATCTTGGTAGAACCTATTTTCTCCACCAAATAAACCCTAAATTTATATAAGTGATGAATACATCTCAATGAATTCCATAGACATTTATCCAAGAAAATAAATGAATGAATGAATAAATAAATAAATAAAATAAAACAAAGAGCTACAAATACAGAAACAGTGCTATACAAGCATACCTATTTTCTTGGAACACGTGATGTTATAGAAAAAGACTTCAAATCAAGCATTCCTTGCAAAAAGAAAGCAATTGGAGGCACTAGT